TTGAAGAATATTATTTTATTTCAAATATCCTCGCATCACAAGCTTGGTTTGCGCAGGGGATATACACTTAGGGCGAGGCAGAGTTAGGATTTTGGACGAATTGTACAAAACCTTAGTGTAAACAATGGAGAGCATGTAAGCCAATGCGTCTAAGTGAGCAGCTGTACCAGGCTTATTGCCCAGGGGAAGAACAATGGCATTGCCAGCGTCATACGTGGCGGCGATAAAATCACAATGACACATGCGCCGGTGTCATAGTCAGCTTTTGAAGAAAACCGAAGGGTAGAAAAGGAAGCTAGACAACAAGGTGGAACCCAAACTGGTCGCGGCAACAGCACACATGGACAAATACGTGACAATACACTCCACCTGTGAGCATCTACCTGACGGCTTGTTTGGCAACAGTAAAGGTTTTCTTTTGAATAAGCGAATAGTGCAAGTGCAACTAGATGGGTCGAAAGTTAAAAACGAAATGGATTACTACCAAAAACGGGTTGTTATTGCATACTTTGTAGGCATGAAATAAACTCCAAAGCTGTTGCAAGAATGCATCAAAATCCTAGCCAAAGAAACAACTAAAGAATTGAAACTCGGACGTGATCTCGGATATGGATTTTTTCAAGTGATTAGCAAATTGGAAGCTGCGACGCATAAACTTTTAATACGGACACCTCATGTATTTTGATGGAGGACTTGTGTATTGCAGCCTTAGATCCCTAGATTCAACCCGACAACATCTGTGGGCATGAAAATGCCAGTTTGGATAAGTTTGAAAGTTCATAAGCAGCGCCCATGATCTAGCGCAAAGCCTCAGACCCGTACTTGAGAACAGGAGAAATGCTTACAGCGTGGATCAGAAGTTCTGCGTGGCTCTTAAAGCAGGCGTCCCATTCGACCTCACGTTAGGAGCCATCAATCCAATTACAAGGGAGATGACGTTGATTAAAATTGATTATAACAATCTTCCAATAAGGTGTCGGTATTGTCTCTCAACCGCACACCTTGTGATAGAATGTGAGGCACTACACAATCCACAAAGGAATGGCCACTCGGAATCTATTGCAGGAACACACACAAGGGACGCGACATCACCTCCCCGCCCCTCCACATGTGCTCCAAATGAACTACAAGCAGGAGCAGAACCAAGGAACCTGTTAAAAGATCCAGGAATTCTCGACGCACCTGAAGGAGGGCAACACATGCCAATCCTGGTACACTCAGCAGATTCCTCCACGAGTTCGGGATACTCGCTACGACAAGGGCAAACCCCACAGACAGACCTTCACCGTGCACACAGGAGGAGAAGCGAGATGAATGGCGGGCGTGGCATAAGCATTGATTGTGCAAAATGGCAAACAAGAGCGACAAGAAGAGGGCGAGAGTCGTCACCAAACACGAACAAGTTTTCTGATGTGAACGAATTTTGTGAAGCGAGAAACAAATGGAATAAACGACAAGGTACGATGTTCTTACCTGATCCTCTCCTCATTTCGCATGACAACTGGTTACATAGTACAATTAACAGAACCACCAGCGGCACCCCAAATCCACATGGATTAGTGATAAGCATACTAGAGGATGAAAGAGATACACATGCAGGGAAGAAGATGGTAACCCAATCAACAACAAACAATCAATCTGTAAACATCGATACAACGTTCGCATTGGAATCTAGGCGAGCAGACCCAATTCACTGAGAGGAAATGAGGCAGATCGTGACACAAATAGAATGGACAGCTAGTATGGCTCCACAAAGATGCGACGATAGGGAACGGCCAGCCGTCACCATGGAACCTGAGTTACGGGAAATAGATCCGAGCTTTAATGGTGGAGTCATGGAGGAAAGGGAAAATAAAGAATCAAGCATAACTCGTCTAGACATTGACCTCAATAAGGGTAACATTTCGACATCCTTCTTGGCAGCGACCCATGCAGCAATGCTCACAAGTGTAGTCCCACGCTCGAACCAATTAACTGCAGAAACTCGATCGGAGGACACATTTCACCCCCCTGGCGTGATCCCGTAGACTCCGAGGAGAATAAATAGAAAAATGGCCGCCCATCTCACCCCCCGCTTCCATACGTGGCTCAAAGGCCAAGGTATAGAAAATTCATTAGCTGGCAAAATTCGTTCGATATCAGAAAACAATCAATCTCTGCCCTTCTTCGATAAAGTTCAAAAATGTGTTAAATATGACAAATAAGTGTGCATCCAAAAGGCTTCAGAATGGAGGCAAGAAGAAACCCTGCTCCGGACACGCCTCGAACAAGCAGTGGAGGCCCTACAACAGCAACCAGGGAACCCTCGACTACATGCAGAACCATTTGCGTGCACGGACCGGCTAAAACGCTGGAAACCACGGAAGCTCAACAAATAGATGCTCCGCTACCGCCTCCATTGGAGATAGGTGGGAAACATGAGCTCACGGGAATTTATCAACGCCCACCAAGAACGGTCAACAAGTTCAAATATTACTAAATTAGATGATTGTGTAGGACAAATCTACACCAGCCACAATGCAATGGCCCACATCTGCACAGAGTTCTACAGTACCTTATACTCCGGTCGTCAGTCAGATGGGGCCTCTAAGGGATCAAGTCAACAAGCCCTGCTTGCTGTTACATACAATCTGAGTTTTGAAATCAAAAAAGAACAATCGGTGCCAATCACACTCAAGGAGCTCACAGCAGCGCTGATGGCAATGCCCTTAGAAAAATCACCAGGCCCACAAAGAATAGAGCTAGAATTTTACACATTATTTTGGGATTTATTGGGACTTGAGTATCTAGACATGATCCATCAAATCATTCATGTGGGGCATCTTTCACTAGAGATAACAAAGAGCACAATTGCTCTTCTACATTGTTGACAATGTTTTAGAGAAAGAGAGACAAGAGTAGCTAGAAGTAGCATGCACACATATGTAAACACACAGATGAGAAGTGAATTTATTGATAGGGTTATATCTCTTATGCAAAGAGAAGGGGAGAAGATAAATAGTATCTTTCTACTACATTCCGAACACTATAGCTACAATAATTACTATAGACTACAATAAATAGTATGGAGGGCGCCAACTACATTTAATGCTCTCAACACTCTTCTTTGCTTGTTATAATATTTATATGCATAGAATTATGATTTATACTTTTTTGTAATTTTGTAAGATCAACAACTGATGCCTTATTAAAATCTTATCTACGAAAACCTTATTATATTTAAGAAAAAAACCATAGATGAAGGAAAAAGAGTACACTATTACCTAAAGAGTTTACTAACTTTATTGCTCAAGAAAAGCAAGTTGCCGCATGCCAATGCCATAAGTAAGCTGGCGATGGTTGCACAAAGGAAGAGCTTTAGTGAGGAGATCAGCAAGATTATTTATAGATTCAATTTTCTTGATCTTAAGTACTTGATCAATAAACAAGTCATGGAGTATAACTAAAATACTTTGAATCAATATGCTTTGTCCTATTTCTTTAAATGAAACCAATTTGCATCTGTGTAATACAAGCCCTATTATCTTTATACAAGATAGTTGAAGAAACATCATATGAAAGTCCACATGTTGTCTGAATGAATTTATTGATTGATCGCAACCAAATACATTTTTGAGATGCTTCATGTAAGGCAATAATTTTTGCATGGTTGGATGAAGTTATAGTTATAGTTAGTTTCACTAATTTTCATGATATTGTAGCTCCATGTCTTAAGAATACATAGCTTGTTTGAAATTTAGCTGTTGTAATATCAGATTTATATCCTGCATCAGAATATCCAACCAATTTTGGATATGTAGATTGTATGTAGTATAATCCCAAATCTTCAATATCTTTTAAATAATGTAGTAAATATTTGATGCCATTCCAATGTTATAGTATTGGACATGCAATAAGTCTTGCAAGAATACTAATTGCAAATGCAATATGTGGTCTTGTAGATGTAACTAAATATAAAAGTGTTCCAATTGCTATAAGGTTTAGATATTGCTCTCTCAATATTTCCTCCTCCTCTTTGCACGGATGATATGGATTATGACCATCATGACCATGTCCAACCATTGGTGTGGATAATAGATAAGCATCAATCATATTGAAACTCTGTAAGATTTGTTTAATATACGTTAGTTGGTAGAAAAAAATACTTCAATCTGTGAGATGCATAATCTGAAGACCAATGTAGAAATTTATTTTTCCTAATATTTTCATCTCAAATTCATATATTAGTAGATTAGTAGTTGCAATACATGCAGATCTAGTATCCACTAGGTTAAGATTATTGACATATATAGCAATAATCACAAAACCAATTTTTTCTTGTTTAATAAATAAACAAAAGATTAGTAGATCACATACAAATTTATTTATAATTAAATAATCTCGAAGATATTGATACTACATGCATCTAGATTATTTTAAATTATATAAGGCCTTGTGTAATTTAATGCCACGATATTATCTTAGAGTAAGTGCATTTGGAGTTCTTGTTTTTAAACCAAATTATCCACCATATAACCAGATTATCATATAAATATCTATATCAAGTGAATCATACAAATACGTACTTATCACATCCATAAGATGCATTTCAAGGGTATTATGAAATGCCATTCTAATAATATATTAAAATATAATTGAATCCATGACTACAGAATATATGAATTCATAATCAATGCCAAATTGTTTGATAAATCTTTGAGCAACAACATGAGCTTTATAGTGGGTTATTTGACCTTTAGCATCTCACTTGCATATTAATACCATTTATATCCTACAAGGCAAGAAGTAAGAGTATCCACAATTGGACCAAAGACTTTCTTCTCACGCAAAGAAGCATATTTTTTCTCGATGGTAGTTTTCCATCTTAACTAGTCAAAGTGACGCATCGCTTCTTGAATGGTTTAAGGTTGAAGATCTTTTTTCTCATAAGAAAGAACTTCTCCTAAGATGAATGCAAATGATTCATCTATTATAATAGATGGTCTATCCCAAAGGTCATTTGTAGCACAATATAGAACAAATAATTTTATACTCAATTTGGTTTTATTCTTCATAATTTCAAGATTTTCTATTACATGAGACAAAGCTATAATGTGCATGGATACATTATCATTAATTGATGATCTTGTAGGTTTAATATAAACTTCTACAGAAAGAATACCAAAATCACAACATATTATAGCTTTCTTTTTTTGTGGTTGCTTATCTTATCCACAAATCATTTTAATTGCTTATGTTTTAACGTGAGGTATATTTGTTAGTGATATTGCAATTTGAGCAAGTTCATTTTGAGCCTCATTAATTGAAACTCTTATAATGCAAGGCTCATTATTGAAGCCATCAGATGTTTTATTTGCAATCCATTTTAGATACAAAATCTTGGCGAACAAAATGCATTTGTTCTAGCCATGGTCATCAAATTTTTAGTTTGCTTGGTTGAAGATTTTTCAATAAAAAATCATCTATTTTAATGGATAGTATGTGTTGTTGCAGAATCAATGAGCGCATCATGTGATTCATCATTAGAGGTTTTGTCATTTATATAAGCCTCTAAATCATCAACACCAATTGAATTGATGGATGTATCTATAGTATGAACTTCTCAAGCTTCAATTCAAAGTTTCTTATTTTCTTGGAATATTTTAACAAAGTATTCTAAAATATGACACACATATGTCAAATCCCTAATTATTCCACATTTATGACAAGAACAATCTTTGATTTTTACTTTTTATTATAATTAATTATAAAACATTTATTCTTTCCATATGGATAGAAATGGTCAAGACTATGACTGATCTGGTGCTTATGAACATTTTTTCCATCTCTATATAATTATTTTTTAAATTTTAGAATATTTAAAATATGAAATTTTGGAACCATAGTTCCAATAGGACGAGCTTTTGTATTAAGTAAGAGTAGCTCATTATATTTCTCTGTAAGAAATAGATAGGACATGAGATCATGATGACTATGAAATTCCATATTCCTATATTGTTGTGTAAGCACAATACATGTAGAGAAAGTTTTTTCAATCATTTCTTCTTTAGAGATGCTTTCTCCATATAATCATAGTTTTGAGACAATACAATATATTTCACTATTCAAAGCATTTAAATTTGGAAAATCCAAGATACATAAATGTATTCAATCATAAAGTGCTTCTAGAAGGAAAATGGTCTTTTAATGATCAAACTTGGATTAAAGATTGTCCCAGAGCTTGGTTGGATCTTCCATTTTTAAATATTGATGTTGTAATGTAGATACAAGATATCGACAAAGGAGAAGAAAAGCTTTCTAATGGATAGCAATAAGAATTAAAGTACTTATAATAGGAGATTCTTTAAACAAAATTACATCCAATACTTGTTCTACAAATAAATTTTCTTTTGCCATTTTTTTTCCCATAATAGATAATTATTTCCATCAACAGCTACTAGCGGAAATAAAAGAGCTTGAAAATGTTGGGATGTAGTGGTGATAGTTGGAAACATAGTAGAGACAATTGAAGATGTTGAAGTACTTATTATAAATAAATTTGTGAACAAAAATACAAATTCAAGTAGAAAAGGTTGAGTAAAATGCATCTTAAAATGTAAAGCCAAATATAATGATAAAGTTGAAAATTGAAATAAAAAATATTAAAAAAATAATTAGGATTTTTTTTTTTTTTTTTTTTTTTTTTTTATGTAAAATAAAATAAGGTCTGTGGTGGAGTGTGGCAGTCAGTAGCAATTTAGCAGTTTGGCTGTAGTTAACAACAGTTGGTGGCAATCAATGGTAGTAGTTATACAAGACAGCAACAACAACAATAACAATACAAGACAGCAATAACATCAATATAAGACATCAATAACAATAGAAAAAAAAATTGGAGAAAAAACAAAGGATAAAATGTACATAAGTTTTCAAAAACCAAGATTAGAGCATAAGAACAATTGTGTTGATAACATGTTGAGAATATTTTAGAAAAAGAGAGACAAGACTAGCTAGAAGTGATATACACACATATGTAAACACACACATAAGAAGTGAGTTTATTGATAGGGTTATATCTCTTATACAAAAAAAAGTGGAGAAGATAAATAGTGTTTTTCTACTATATTCCAAATACTATAGCTATAGTAAATATTATCGACTACAATAAATAGCATAGAGAGCCCTTACTACATTTATTGCTCTCAACATATATGAAAGAGGCATAAGAAGAGTCATCACCAATTAAAGATCCATCACCTTATTCAACATGGGGTATAAAATCTATACTAAAGCGTTACAATTAAAATTACAATCTATACTTATGAATATCATTAGCTTAGATCAATCTACCTTCCTCCCTTAGAGATTTTGCATTGGACAATTTTGTATTTTCAATAGAAAGAAGTGTGAAGCAAGATTGCCCACTTG